AAATAGAACCGCAGCTATATCTAGATGGTTGCTCAAGGAATCAAAATAGCAGAGATTCCAAGAAGAAGCAAACAAGAAACTAATAGAGGCTAGCCGGAACCATGTACAAAAGCTCAACAAAGATACAAAAACTTTACCGAGAAAGCAAAAATCAAAACTAACAAGCTTTACAAAATCAGCTATGAGTACAAAGAGAAAGGCATAAACCAAGAGAGTCACAAAGATCATGGGCATGCAGATACCCGAATGAGGAGGGTAGCCAAGTATTAGCTATTAGCACAAGAGAAACAGAACCTACAAGAAGCAAAGATCAACAAACTAGCGGAGAGCCAACGAGGGGCTAAATAGAAGGCTTAACCATGTGGCAGACCAAAAACGAACCAAGAGACCTTTATCGCTCTGGCCAGGCCCGCCTAAGTAGATACCGGAAGGCGCTAACAACAGAGGAGAGCGTATAGATCCCAAAGCAGCCTCTTGGTCAAACCCCTCTTTCCAAGAGCGTAAACCAACAAGAACGAAGCTATGGGCATGCAAATGGAGGGACTACTAACCGTACTTGAATAAAGAGCACCCCGAAAGCCGAAGAAAACCGTACACGAGTGACCACCCAAACAATTCACAAAACTTAGAGATACATGTAGATGGGGAGCAAAAGATGTAGGGTAGAGCAAGAAGCACATGGTAGAAGCGCTTATCGACAACTGATACAGTGAATGATCGAGCCGTAGCAACCATAAGTAGAGAACCATATATTTAGGTAACAAAACCTATCAAGACAAACAATAACATAATCCAAGAGCAGTGAATACACAACAAGTTAGCCGAGGTAGCCCAAACACAAGGCGCCACAGAGGAAAAGCTCATGAATCCAAAGCAACCAGAACCCTGGGGCCGCTATCGACTTCAAGCAAGGGCGATCGAGAGCCGAAGAAAACCGAAGCAAAAGACCTCCCACACCTACAACCGTACCCGAGGAAACCGAATTGAACCGTGCCTAACTCATGAAGGTGGAGAAACATGGATTAGTGGATCTACCGAGCAAGGCCAAAAACCCAACCGTAATGAACTCTGACTAAGCTACACCAAGAAACTCTACACCAAAGAAACTAAGATATACAAAGAAATACAAAAGAAATACATGGGAATAGATTCCGTAAACAAAACTAGCAAAGGCTAGGAAAAGAGAGAAGATATGTGAAGCATCTACAAATTGGAAGATGCAGAGAAAACCTCGTAACATCAATTATCCAAGCCTAATCTACCATGTATAATGAGAAATCAGCCGCGATAAGGGAGGCCGAATAGAATCATTAAGGTAACTTAGCATGTAAAATAAAATGGATGCAACCACTAAAGGGAGGACAGAATGGAGTGCCGAAACAACTCTAACCAATCTACGAAAAAGGCTAGGCCCTGCTTTAACAACTTAGTAATGTGCCCAACTCTAGTGATGTAAGTGCGTAAGCCCGAGGCTAAGAGACCGAAGCAACCAGAGAGCTTGGTAGAGCCGCAATGGAGACCTAGAAGGCCGGCGGTGAGATCCCCAAGAGACAACCAGCAGAGCAGCAGGAGACCGCAAGCTAACCAACTAAGTAGAAGACAAGCACCTAGCCCACAAGTAGAGAAGACCGCAGTGCACTGCATACACTGCAACGCAATTTAGCACACATGTAGGAGGAGGTGGTCCGATTCATGTAAAAGAGGATCCGAAATTTCCGAAACACCTTGTCAACCAAGTTTGACGAGACTTCAAAGACTCTCCCGTTTCTTTCCTCCTGCATGACATAAATTGTTATACTAAGTGGCCACCCTTGGCATCCTTGCTTCAAGATTGTTATGACGACAAAGACCCCGAATAAGCACTATTAAGTGTTTTCATTCCTCTTTGGATTCTTAGCCATTGTTTAATTTTCAGCCATAGTAGCAACTCGACTGTGTACAAGAAAAGAACAAATGGTTACGTGACTCGTTAGCTTGGTTACAAAGAAGGCATGCTTCACCGGAAGGAAGAAACCGTAGGCGGTCTTTAGTTTTTAAGGCACCCCTAGTATCAAGCCAAAGGATAAAAGCATGGCGAGGCAAGAACCAGGATTCCTAAATCACCAAACCCCAAAGACACCGAAATCCTTAGTCGGCGAAGCCGAGAGTACACAATGTAAGAGAAACCGCCCTTAGTTGAGTGCCACCGATCGAGCTCCCTAATAACCGCATATGTGTGAGCATATTTCACAATAAGTAGGTCTTTCAAATCTATAATAGCTTTCCACAATGGCGATACATTTTGTTGGGCTTCCACATCCCATACCCGGTCGTCTTGCAAGTAGAAATGGTGGATCCATCTCGATCCAAATGGAGTCATCTTCGAGGTGGATGTCCTAAAGCCTCCGAGCTACGAAACTTTGATTTCTCACTTTGATGTCAAAGAGGCCTAGGCCACCTTCTAATTTAGAGAGACAAAGGGTTTTCCAAGCCACCAAGGTCGAGGAGCTCCCGTTAATATCACCATCCATAAAACATCGCGACACATACTAGTGATATAAGCAATAACCACCTGCAGTATAGGAAATATAGCTAACCGTAATTGGATCATGCCGAAGAGGACCGACCTTAGTAACTTCAACTCCGCCCGCATAGGTTAAGTGTTTACCCATCCAACTTCCGAATTGTAGATTCAAGACCGTGAAGTAGGGAGCAAACCGACTAGCAATCAAGTAGTGAGGACTTAGAGGGACACCCAAGTATTTGAATAGGAAAGAGCCCTCACCGAAACTAGTTTCTGGAGAATAGAGTTCTTCAAATCAGCCCTCACCCCTTTAAAGAAAATCAAGGATTTGGCCACGTTGATGTCTAGGCTAGAAGTTTTGCTAAAGAGAGAGAGCTAGCCGGACAAAATCTTGATAGAAGGAATATCCCCGCGGCAAAGCAACAGACATCATTTGCGAAAGCAAGGTGGGTGATGGCATGGATCTCGCATTTAGGGTGAAAGTGGAAACTGGAGCTTCGGTGGCAACCCGAATAAGCCGAGAGAAATATTCCATACAAGCAACAAAAAGGTAAGGAGAAAGAGGCTCCCCTTGCCTAACTCTTGCTTTACCTTGGAATAACCCAAACATGTGCCCATTGACTCGTTATGGAATCGGAGTGCGTACTCCACACATGCACAAATCCAACCAACAAATTTGACCGTAAAGCCCAACCGTAAAAGAAGCTATTTCAAAAACCCCCATTGTACCGAGTCAAAGGCCTTACAAAAGTCAATCTTCATTAGGCACTTAGAGAGGCTCTCTTCCAAACATACATGTGAAGAAGTTCCCGAACCAAGCAGATATTATCCGACATTTTTCTACCTTCCAAGAAGGCATTCTACGTAGGGCTAACAATATCCTTAAGGACCCGAGATATCGAGAGGAAAGAATTTTGGAGATCACCTTATAGACTACGTTGCAAGCAGGCAATAGGCCGAAGTCACAAGGCAAAGTAGCATTGGCTTTCTTTGGTATGAGAGCTAATATTGAATGGATGACCCGTTTCAAGAGCTTTCCGCATCAAAAGAAGTCCCGGATTGCCGCACAAAAATCATTCTCGATAATATCCCAAGCCTCGCTTAAAGAAGAATGAAGAAAACCCATCGGGACCCGATGCTTTATCATTGTCAATGCTAAAAAGTGCCTTATTGATGGTATTCTCTAAGACCCGGGCAAGTAACATGTCATGGCCGTCCAGCTGAAGCGAGGCCCACTAGCAATAATATTCGCATCAAGGGGTATTTGACTTTGCAAGTACCTAAGAGGTTTTGATAAAAATTGACAAACTCCTCTCCCACTTCATTAATCGAGGAAGTAAGCCGCCCATCCGATCTCATAAGAGCCGCAATGTATTCGTTTTGTGCTTCCGATTCATAAGACCATGAAAAAAGCTTGTTCCTTTATCATAATCTTCGAGGAACTTGTATTTTAATTTTTGGCCAAAATACATCTTCTCCGAAGTCTCGAGATTAACCGGATTAAGCCCGAGCCTCTTCTCATTCTTGCTAAGCTCAAGGTTATCCCTATTATTCTAAAGATCAACCCGGAGTTCGCCTAATTCAACTTCGGCCCTAAGCAACTCGTGGGAGACGTGGTCGAAATGGAGTTTGTTCAAGCAGCCTTCAAGGGAGCCTTTAGTGGTTCGAAGCTTTCAACAAAGCACATACATGGGTGTACCTCTCGATTTCAGTAGCCCAACTATCAACCACAAGTGTTATGAAAGTCCGCATGGGATGCCCACATGTTGAAGAATTTAAAGCTCCGATTTCCAAACCGAGTGTGGGAGCCTAAGGTTACCGATACTAAAGCATGGTCGAAAAACTCCTAGGGGATCAAAATGAATATGAGCAAGAAGCCGAGTGGAGGACCAAAGAGGGTTAGCTAAGACTCGTCAATTTTATTCCAAACATCCGCCCCATTCCAAGTGAAATGACTCCCCGTATAGTTAAGGTCGATAGGCCGAGATCGTAGCAATAAGTTTTAAAGTCCCGAGTCTCGTAGTTGGAAACGACAATACCATTATGCTTATCTCGCTTGTGAGAAAATCGAATTAAAATCCCTCGCATGAGCTAAGGATGATTCAGCTTGCCATCGATGGAGATCTCGTCCACAATTCTCTTCTAGCAATAATAAGAGTGTAATCCATAAACAAAATTTGTATGAAAAGAAATTTGCTATACAAGATCGTTGAGTCTAACATTTAGACCTTGAATAGAGACATTTAGCATTTTAACCATGACAATTTTGGAATTCCAAAAATAACAATACGAGCATTACCGCAACCATAGCATTAGACATGTAGCCCCAATGTTTGAGCCGGAGCTTCGTGCATATGACAAGCTTTACTAAACCGAGCTTTGTTTCCACAAGTGCACAAATGTCTACCTTTTTTTCTTCATGAGATGAAATGTTTCATGCTATTTCAAAGGGCTATTGAGCCCTCCGACATTCCAACTTAAAATGATCATAGTTGAGTCGAAGAGGCCGAGCCCCTTCGACCCCCACTTCTACCTCGCGTAGCTCTCCGGTGGCACCGCCCCGTCACAATTTTCATGGGAACTCGTGTCTCATGTTTGATTAGGGGTATCGTAGGTGTGGCCCCTAGGGAGACAAGAGCAAGTAGGACATTCAGCTTCCTTACAGCTACCATCCCTCGCTCGATAAGCCCTCAATCTACTATTGGTTCTCCTATCCATAACTATTCCCGCACTAACCGTCTCTCGCTCCGTCCGGAGAGATATTCACAAGCATAACCCGATATGAACTTCCCCCAACTTCCTAATTTTGAAGAATGGTTAGCCCGGCCTTTTGGTTACACAACCCACTCTTAGCTCTTTTGCCGCCGCCAATCATGTCCGGCGAGGCTCGCGTGGCCTGCAGTCGCTGTGTGGCTCCCGCCCGATTCGAATCGAGCAAGCATGATTTTCCCTTTATTAGCACCCTTGCATGAGTGTTTATGTCTATGCATTGTCTCCCATTCCTTGGAAGCATCTCGCTACTTCAAGAAGCATAGGGTCAATATACATTTGGGCTTCAATATGGCAAGCATTGCGTAATCATCCACTTGCCGGAACACATTGGACTTGGCTTGTCCGCCTACAGCCTTCACCGCCATTTGTGGTGTCTTTAGTCAAATCCCGAATAGTCCGATTTTTGCACGCATTTGTGGAGTGGCCAAGAATATGACATTTTTTACAAGTGTATTAGGAGAGTCTCATACACTACCGGTTGTAAGAGGGCGTTGTCGTTTGGTAATAATATGTTGACAATCCGAGGCAGAGTCTCCATAATATTCAGCTCTACCAAGACTTCTAGCATAGGAGAGACGATCCATCGAGGCGATTAATCCGTCACATTGGATTGGTTTGCCAAGCATACTTGCACATAGGAGAGACGATCCATCGAGGCGATTAATCCGTCACATTGGATTGGTTTGCCAAGCATACTTGCAATCTTTGACAAACACAGAGATGACCAAGCATTTTAATGGCAGTGTTTGGAAACTTGACCCAAACAGTGGACAAGTGGCCATTTCAAAGAATGGAGAAATCAAAGTATTCACCGTTGGTCTCAAAATCAAAGCTTGCCCATAAATTAGATAGGGTCCCCCATTAAGCACCGAGACCTTTTCTTCTGCAGATTGGAATTTATAAATTAGCCATCCGGATTCATGAACTCGTTAGAGTAGCAACAGCATTTCCGTGTATCCTTTATGATTCCCTTTAGGGCACAAGAACTCGGATTTCTACCAAGCAACATATCCCACTAGGCAAGATTTCCAAAACTCACATTCGATGTCATCATTAAGTAGAATGCATTGTTTCGATTGAGTGATAGTAGAAAAATGAGACAATTTAGGACACAAGGCCGGGTTTCAGCTATTTACAAACAAGTCTCTCCACTTGCTAGTTGGAGGAGGAGGAGATACAGCTTATCCTTGCTTTGGATGCTTCACAATCATGAGCCCCTATTTCAGCTTGTTGTTGTCTTTGGCAATGGGGACAAAGGTAGGGTAACTTCTATAGGCAAGTTTGGGCCGTGGGCACATGGAGAGTTATAATGCAGCCAAGAGCCTATGGCAATTTGCAGTGTATTGGTTGCTTCCCTGTAATCTAAAATAGGCGGTGCTATTTTGAAGAAATGGGATTAAGACCTATGCAGTCCTTTTAAATCGGAATGGCCCACCTCCTCTTCACCGAACTCATCCTCCTACGAGCGAGTCCTTAACCTCAACAGATTGATGACCGAAGCTAGGGCTTGGGATTGGTTAAGGGTAGATTTGGAGGGGATATCCCTTTTGCGATCTAGAGTTTTGGGTAACTCGGGGAGAGAGGGGGATGGATTCCTTCGGAGGATGGACTCGATGAGGCTAGGGCTTCTGTGGCAATGATAGGGTAATCGAATCTTTTCGTATAGCATCCTTAGGAGTTGTGGTCGTGGATTTTCATTTCTTCTTTGCCATTAGGGAAAAGAACCTGTAATGTCGTGGAGAGAGAAAATAGTGGGTGGAGAAAGTTTTTGTGGTAAACTAAAAAGAGAAGGACAAAGAAAATGGAACAGAATAAGAAATTATACCATGGAAAATGGAAGCGAGTCATATTAAAGCTTTTCAAATGAAAGCAAGGCGTATCCGGAGGGAAAGAGCTCCATGGAAGGAGGAGAGAGTCTCTCTCTTCTTTCTCACTCTAGGCTTGCTCTTACCGAGAGCTCTTTCTTACCGAGAGCTCTTTTTTTATTTAAATATAAGTATATAAATCAAAGGTGAAACCAAACTGGGAACCAACAAGAGTAACATATACATGATTTACAAAAATTAGGAACATGCTCCCAAAGAAACCGAACTAGAGCTATATCTAGATGGTTGTTCAAGGAATCAAACTAGTAGAGATTCCAAGAAAAAGCAAACAGAAACTAGTAGAAGCTAGCTGGAACCATATACAAAAGCTCAACAACATACAAAAATTTAGCCGAGAAAGCAAAAATGAAGGAGAACTACCAATTTACAAAATCAGCTATGAGTATAGCCGAAAACAAAACCCAAGAGAGGCAAAGCAGGAAAAGCTAGAGCAGTGCAAAAGCTAAGATTAGGAAGGACAAGCTGAGAATCGCCTATTAGCACAACAGAAATAGGAACCTACAGGAGCAAGCAGCGAGACCTCTATAGCCAACTAGGCCTCGTCGAGCAGGAGTCGGCCGGCGCTAACAGCAGAGGAAGCCAAACATAACCAAAAGCATCCTCTCGGTAAGAGGTAGACGCCGATGCTAGAGCTACACAAAACTAGCAGAATATAAGTGGCGTAATGATGACAAGGCCGAAAACCTCATTAGCGGCCTACCGAGTAAAAATAGATAAGTCTCGGTGCAAATAGAAGCATGAGGTCATGGACTCGAGACCAAGTGGTAAGGCCAACTAATAGCGCTCTCAAGTGAAGGTAGACGTCTAAACCAGTGGAAAGATCTCGGACAGACCGAGGAGGAGGCTAGGCCCGGCCTCAACTACTAAAGGGGAGGCCCGAACATAGTAGTAGACCAAGACCGGTGAAGCCACTTAGACGGTGAGACGAAGCGCAGGAGAACCCGAACAGGAGGCCGAGATCGTGCAAACACAACAAGTCGCCCAATGCAGCCCATACAGCAGGCGAGACCACAGAGGCATTGATCCGAAAGCCAACCAACCGAGAAGCCCGCAACTGCACTCGACAGAAGGTGTAAGAAAAAATAAAAGCCACTCGAACATAAAATCAAAGCTATCCCACATACCGTAGGTGGGGGTCCGACTCATGAGAGTAGAAAACCATGAAAAAGAGAATTTGAAATTTCGAAGCACACTATCAATCGAGCCGGACGAATCATCAAAGACATGCCCGTTACGTTCCTCCTAGATTACGTAGATTGTGATACTTAGGGCAACCCACCTCATTTGCACTTCAAGATTGTTATGGTGGATGGAGAGGCATCGAAGGGCTTGATTGAGCATAGTCGTACCTCTTCTAATTCTAAGCCATTGCTTAATTTTCAACCATGGTGAAGTCGTCCAATTACAAGAGAAAAACAAATGACCATGGGAATCGTTAGCTTGATGGCAGTAATAGGCATGCTTCACTGGAAGGGAGAAAGCAAAGATGGTCCCTAGTTTTTAAGGCACCTCGAGATGTAAGCCATAGAATGAAGGAATGCCTCGATAAGGACCAGTGGTTCCCAAGTCACACGGCTCCAGCTCACTATATTCTCGAATGGTCTAAGCTTGGAATACGTTATACGGTATAAGCGTCCCTCACCCAAGTGCCACTAAGCTAGCTCTCTAATAGCTTCATCACCGCCATTGTATTTCCCAACAAGCAAATCTTTCAAATCTATAATAGCTTTCCACAAGGGCGAAGCATTTCGATGGGCTTCCACGTCCCAAACCCGATGATCTTGTAAGTAGTAATGGTGAATCCAACGTATCCAAATGGAGTCCGCTTTTAAGTGAATGTCCCAAAGATGTTGAGCTATGAAACTTTGATTTCTCACTTTGATGTCAAAGAGGCCTAACTCGCCTTCTAATTGTGGAAGGCAAAGGCCTTTCCAAGCAACCAATGTAGAAGAACTCCTTCGCACATCTCCAAATCCATAAGAAGTTACGACACATACCGGTGAGATTGCTAATAACCGTAGCAGTGCATAGGAAAAACCGAGAGCCAAAATTGGATCTTTTCGTAGAGGACGGACCCGAGCAGCCTCCAACCTCCCCGCATAGGATAGGTGCTTACCCATCCAACTCTAAATTACAAATTCCGAGCCGTGGAACAGAGGAGCAAACTAACTAGCGAGTAAGCGATGTGGGCTAAGAGGGACCCCTAAGTATTTGAAGGGGAAGGAGCTCTCACGTAACCCCGTTTCATGGAGGATTGATTCTTTCAAGGCGTCACTCACCCCACCAAAGAAAATCAAGGACTTAGCCACGTTGATGGTAAGACCGCAGGTTCTACCGAAAAGAGAGAGCCGACTAGACAAAAGCCTGACAGAGGCTAAATCCCCATGGCAGCAGCCTCAACACATTCGTAAATACAAGGTGGGAGATGGCATGAAACCCACATTTTGGTGAAAGTCGAAGCCCGAGTTTCCAAGTAGCTACCTAAAGTAAATGAGAGAAATATTCCATTCAAACCACAAAAAGATAAGGAGAGAGTGGGTCACCTTTCCCGACTCCCGCCGCCCCGGGAAGTACCATACATGCCCCCGTTAACCAAAATGGAATAGGAAGCCGACTCCACACAAACTTTGATCCAATCAACAAATCTAATCGAGAAACCCAACCGTAAGAGAAGCCGAGCTTTCCAAACGACAAGAAGTCGTATTTGGAGGGAAGGAGCTCTAAGGTGAGAGGAGAGCGTCTCTCTCATCCTCTCTCTCCTTGACTTTACTACTACTAAGAGCTCTTTCTTGATTCTATGGGTGGTGGTGCATGGCCGTTCTTAGTTGGTGAAGTGATTTGTCCGGTTAATTTCGTTAACAAACGAGACCTTAGCCTCGCTAACTAGCTATGTGGAGGTGACCCTCCGCGCTAGCTTCTGTAGAGGGACTATGGCCTTCCGTGCTAAGGAAGTTTGAGGAAATAATGTGTCCGTGATGCCCTTAGATGTTCAGGCCGCATGCGCACTACAATGATGTATTCAATGAGTATATAGCCTTGGCCGATAGGCCCGGATAATCTTTAGAAATTTCATCATGATGGGGATAGATCATTGCAATTGTTGGTCTTCAATGTGGA